CATCGCGGCGGTGACCGACATCCTGACGCGGCACCGGSGGGGTCCCCGCGCTCCCGGCCCCCCCCCGTGGCTGTCGCTGTTTGAGGGGTCCCCCCTGCGCAGCCCCAGCCCCCCCCGCCGGGGCCGCCCCCGCACCCTGTCCTTGGACGCCCGGCTCAGCACCCTCAAGGGCCGGGGGGGCCCCCCAAAACCCCCCCATTCCAGCTCCTCCAGCAGCGGCAGCAGCAGCCCAGGGCCCCCCCAGCGCGACCCCCCCAGACCCCTCCAGTCCCGGGTGTGACCCCCAGAACTTGGGGGAGGGGGGAGAGAACAGGGATGGACCCCCCCTCCTGCTCGTCTGGGGGGGCTGGGGGCTCCCAGCTTCTGTTTTTGGGGAGAAACTGGAATTTCTGCCCCCCTCCCGTGCTGGGGGGGGGCTCAGGGCTGAACTCCAAAAAGGGGGGGGGGKTTYCYTYCCCCCYCCACCAGGGTGGGTGCTCAGGGTCTAACCCGGGGGGGCACAGAGCCCCCCCCAGCTCTGCTTTCCCTCACCTCTAACCTGGGGGGGACACACCCCCCCCCGGCAGCCCCCTTCCCCAATTAATAATGTTCAAATTAATAATTTGCATTAAAATTTATTTAACAGCTGCTGTGTGTGATTTGGGGGGCGGGGGGCGTGGGGGTCCCTGTGCCCGCGTGGGGGGGTCCGTGCCCCCCCATCTTGTGCTGCCACCAGCGGGGGGGGGGGTCTTTGGGTGCTGCCCCCTCCCCAAGCTGCTCATTTTGGGGTGCAAGTGGGGGGGTGGAGGCTGTGCAGGGGGTGTGTGTGGGGAGGGGGCGTCCATCCCGGTGCCATAGGGGGATGCCCCCAAAAAAGGGGTGCTGGGCTACCCCCCCCCCGCTACACAGCATGGGGGGAGAGGTCCTCGTCCTCGGTGGGGGGGCTGGGACCCCCCAACAGCGGTGGGTGGGGGGCGTCACGGGCCAGCAGCAGCGCAAAGCCTGGGGGGAGAGTGGGGGTCAGCCAGGGGGGTTTGGGGGTTTTTTTGGGGGGTTGGGTAGTTTTGAGGGGTTAATTGGGGGGTTTTGGGGTACCTGGCGTGGCTTTGTGCAGGACCATGCTCTCGCTGGGCTCGTCCCCCTGCAAAGAGTGGGGGGGACCTGAGGGGTCCCTTCACCCCCAGGTGTGCCCGCCCCCCTCACCAGAGGACTCCACCCCACCTCCCATCCTGCCCCACTTCCCATTCCCACTCCAGACCCATCCCAACCCCCATACCGAGCACCCAGGGTCGTGTGTTCCCCCCATCCCCCCAGACAGATCCCAAAACCCACAGCCCACCCAGGTCTACCCATTCCCCCAGCCCCATGCACCCCAAAACCTCCCCTTGGCCCCCCATTCCCACATTTCTCCCATCCCCCATCACCCCCAGCCCCCCATTTCCCCCCACGTACCTGTCCCGAGGGCAGTCCCGGCTCCCAGGGGGTCTCCCAGCCCCCCCACTCGTGCCCCCCGACTCCATTGCGCCCCAAATCCTGAGGGTCCTGCACCGGGCGGGGGGGACTGGGGCACCTCAGGGGGGGCCCGGGAGGGGGTATTGGGGACCCCTCCCGCGGGCTGGGGACCCCCTCAACCAGCGGCCCCAGAGATTCCCATGCCGGGGGGCTGGGGAGGGGGGGAGTGTCCGGGAGGGGCCCCTCCTCATCCCGGGGGGGCCTGGGGGGAGACTCCAAGCCGGGAGTGCTGGAAGGAGGGAGGGGCTCTACCCCATAAGTGCTTTCGGAAGACCCCGAGCCAGAGGGGCCAGGGGGGACCCCCATCCGGGGGGGGCTGGGAGGAGGCCCTGGCATGGCAGGGGGCGACCCTGACCTGGTGGTGGCAGCCTGGGGGGTCCCTGTCCCCATAGGGCTGGTGGCAAGGGGGGACCCCGCTCGGGCTGGGCTGGAGGGGGTCCCCAGGGTGCCACATTGTGGGGTCCCCGWCCCCATAGAGCTGGTGGCAAGGGGGGACCCYGCTCGGGCYGGGCTGGAGGGGGTCCCCAGGGTGCCACATTGTGGGGTCCCTGTCCCCACAGGGCTGAGGGGGCTCCTGGTGGTGGCACTTTGGGGGGTCCCCGTCCTCACAGGACTGGTGGCATGGGGGGACCCTGCTCGGGCCGGGCTGGGGGGGGTCCCCAGAGTAGCAGGAGGGGTGCCCCTCCCCATGGAGCTGGCGGGGCCACATTGAGGGGTCCCTGTCCCCGCGGGGCCRGGGGGCAGAGGCGGYGGYGGCCGGCGGGGGCTGGGGAGCGGTGCCCCCCCGGAGGCTCCGGGCGGGGGATTCTGGAGGGGCTCCGGCCGGCGGAAGATGAAGGCGGATTCAGTCAGGCTGCGCTGGTACCGCAGGAAGGGCCGGCGAGCACCTGCAGGGGAGGGGGAGGGTCAGCGGGGACCCCCAGAACCCCCCGTGCACCCCAATCCCCCCACGGCACCTACCGGGGGTGCTGCCGGGCAGCGGGGACGTGGAGGTGGACCCCGAGCGCTCCCGCTGCCGAAAGAATTCCCGGGGGTTCTGGGTGCGCTGGGAGACCAGGATGGCGGCTTCCTGCGGGATCCGGGGGTCAGCAGGGGTGTGGCACAGAGCCCCGTGTGGCACCGTGGCCGGGCCAGCGTGACCCGGGGGACAGGGAGGGAGCCGGTCCCGACACTCACGGCCGCCGTCCCGCTGACCCCGCTGCGGCCCCCGCGCTCCCGCTCGGCYGCTTCCTGCTCCCGCTGCTGCTGCTCCTGCGGGACACGGCGGCCATGGGAATGTGGATCCTGGGTCCCTTGAGAAGGACCCCGGATCCCCTGGGATTGACCCCTGGATCCTCTGGGATGGAGCCCTGGATCCGCTGGGATAGAGCCCGGGATGCCCTGGGATAGACCCCTGGATTCCCTGGGATAGAGCCCGGGATGCCCTGGGATAGAGCCCTGGATGCCCTGGGATTGACCCCTGGATCCTCTGGGATGGAGCCCTGGATTCCCTGGGACAGAGCCCTGGATCCCCTGGGATTGGCCCCTGGATCCCCTGGGATAGAGCCCGAGATCCCCTGGGATAGAGCCCGGCATGCCCTGGGATAGAGCCCTGGATCCGCTGGTATGGAGCCCTGGATTCGCTGGGATTGATCCCCTGGGATGGAGCCCTGGGTCTCCCGGGATAGAGCCCTGGATTCCCTGGGACAGAGCCCTCGCATCTTCCCGGGTTAGATCCCACACCCGGATCCTTCCGAAACCTCCTGCATTCCCCGGGATGAACCCGCTGGATCCCYCAGRATGGACACCCCGGATCCCCTGGGKTGARCCCCTGGATCCCMCAGGATGGACACCCCGGATCCCCTGGGATGAACCCCTTAGGATCCCCCAATATAGACCCCTAAAAGCCCCCGGATCCCCTGGGGTGAACCCTTTAGGATCCCCCAGGATGGAGCATTTTGATCCCCTGGGATGGATGTGCAGATCCCACCCTTCCTAAATTAACTCCCTGGATCCCACAATCCTCTGGGAACGGGACCCCCCMATCCTTTGGGATGAACCCCTTGTATCCTGCTGGGATGGAGCCCCTCTATCTGCCAGGACAGACCCCCTGGGTCCCCCCGAGACCCCTCCCCACTCACCCATCGCTCCTGCTCCTTCCTGCGCTCCTCCGCGTCCAGGCGCGCCTGCTCCTGCCTGCGGGGAGTCCGGGGATCAGGGAGGGGACACGGGGATGGGAACATGGATGGGGACACAGAACGGGGACACGGATGGGGTGCAGGGTTGGTTCTCACCGCCGCTCCTCGATGAGCCGCTCCCGCTCCTGCAGCCGCCGCTCCCGCTCCGCCGCCTGCAGCCGCTCCTCCTCCATGCGCTCCCGCTCCCAGCGCCGCCGCTGCTCCCGCTCCCGCTGCCGCTCCTGCTCCTTCCGCTGCTGCTCCTCGCGCTGGGCACGCACCGGGATCAGCGCCGGGATCGGCACGGGGAACCGGCACCGGGAGCCGGACCGGGAACACACCCACCCCGGCACCGGGACCCGGACCGGGAACACACCCCGGCACCGGGACCCGGACCGAGAACACACCCCGGCACCGGGACCCGGACCGAGAACACACCCACTCGGGCACCGGGAACATACCCACCCACCCCGGCACCGGGAACACACCCACCCCGGCACCAGGGACCCGGACCGGGAACACACCCACTGCGGCACCGGGACCCGGACTGGGAACACACCCACCCCAGCACCGGGAGAGGCACGGGGACCCCACCGCCCTTGGCACCGGCACGGGAACCAGCACCGGGATTGGGACCCCCCTAAACTTCACCCCCTTCCAACCTCGGCACCAGGACCAGGTCCGGGTCGCAACACCAGCACTGGCACCAGCCCTGGCACTGGGACTGTGACTCCACTGGTATCGTCACTGGGATTCCCTCAACATCAGCACTGGGACCCCCACAGACCTCAGCACTGGGACCGGGACCCCACTGCTCTCCTCACCGGCACCGGGGCCCCTGGGCTCGGCTCTGCCACTCCCAGCCCGAGGCAGTAGCCATGGTCCTGTCCCTGGGATATCGGGGGACCGTGGGGACCCCCTCGCCCCTCCCCAGCCCCTGGCACCCCTCACCTCAGCCTGTTCCCAGAAGGAATCGCGCTGGGTGCGCTGGAGCTCCAGCGCCGGGTTGGTCTTGCGGTAGTTGGTTCCCTGGGGAGCACAGAGGGGGGGTCAGGGTGGGACCCCCAGGACTCCCAAAACCCTCAAAACCCCTGCCCAGGGACCCCAGGGAAGGGTGAGTTGGCTCCCCCCCCATTCCCGCAGACCCCCACTCACCACCAGCTCCTGGGTGTCCTGGGGTGTTCTCCTGGGGGGCCGAGGGGCGGGGGGCTCCAGCTGTGCCAGCACTCGGCGCAGCCCCTCCAGCGTCACCTCCTCGGAGCGGCGGGCGCTGATCACCGCCGTGGCCTCCTGCCACCGGGACGGGACAGCACGGGACCGTGTCACCCCTCCCACAGCCCACCCCACACCCCCGCATGGATCCGCAGTCCCGGGGGAATCTCGGCACGATTCCTTTGGGACGCGTCAGACGTGGGAATGGATCCAGATGTGGGGCCGGATCCAGATGTGGGGCCGGATCCAGATCGCGGACCCAGACAGATCACCGGAAGCTGTTCCGGGGGATGGGGAGGGCAGGACCCCCCCGTCGGGGCGGGATGGGGGGCAGGGATCCCAACCACAGCTCCGGCAGCGCGGCCAAGACTGGGAGCACTGGGAAAGCGGCGGCTGAGTCAGCAGCGCCAGGAATGCGCCCGGGCACAGGCAAAGGTCGGGGCGGCGGGATGGGGGGATCAGGGGGGAGGCAGGAATGGGGAACACGGGGAASCGGGGACCCCGAAACCTCCCCCCACCGCTCCCCGGGAGCTCCGCGCCCCCCACTCACCCTGAAGAAGTTCCGGATGGCCGGCAGGTGTCCGGCACACGCCGCCCGCTGCGATTCCGGCACATTTTCCCCGACCTGGCACCACAGCCATTGCTCGGCCCGGGGGGGTTCCAATCTTGGGGTTCCCCCGGGCTCCCCCCGCACTCACCCAGCTGATGAGGACGATTCTCGGGGTGCCGGAACCAGGATCGGGGACCCGGCACAGCCCGTACATGACGCTGCCCACAGAGAATTTTCCAGCGAGCTCATCCGGCCCCCCGGCTGTAAGGAGGGGCGGTCAGAGGGGGTGCAGGGGAACTCGGAGGACCCCCCAATACTCCCCGGCAGCATCGCTCCCGGTACCTCCGGAATCCAAGAGCTTGAGGTCGTGGTGCTTCTCATAGCCAAAGACGGCCCTGGAGGGGAGAAGGGGGGATCAGGGTGGGGGGAATCGGGGGTGGGTATCACACAAGACGGGGGACCTGCCGGGCTGGGGCACCCCCCGTGTCCCCCCACGCCACCAGCTTGGGATGAATTCGTGGAAGTGCCGCCGGCAGCATCCGCCCCCGGGACAATGGGAATGTGGGAAGAGCCGGAGCGGCACGGCCCCCACAACGACCCCCACCCCTGCGGCGGTGCGGGGACCCCCCCCTCGGCCCTGGGAGGGCTCCGGGGGCCCCATCCCGGAGGGACCCTCCTCCCCGGGCATTTCCAGCGGCTCTGCCCCTCTTTGTTCCCGCGTGGCTCCGGTTCCGGGMGCAGGCGGGACGCGGCTCGGCGCGGCTCCGGGAGCACGCGTGCAGCACGGCGCGGCGGGGCACGTCACGCGTGTCACGGCATGTCGCGACAGGCTGTGGCGCCACATGGCGGGACAGAGCCCGGCACGCGGCCGGGCGGGCGCCGGGAGGAGCCGGAGCTGGAGCGGCTCCAGCCGCGCTCCCGGGGCAGAGGGCAATGCCCGGGTGGCCGGTAGCCACGGTGACGGGCGGTCCTGTGACGCCGGGGGGGCTGCGAGGCCGATGAGCCCCGGTGCCGTTGCCCCCCGCACCGGGATKGGGGTTTTGGGGGACACCGGCTCCGGCCTGGAGCCACCGGCACCCATGGGGGGCCAGCCCGGGACCCCTAGTCCGGGACCGTCCGGGGACCCGTGTCCCCCCGGTGCAACCGGGCAGGGCCCCCCTCACCGCACCCCGGGGTGCTCCCCCGTTCCCACAAACCGCTCCCGGGCCCGTCCTGCCCCCGCCCCGGGCAGTGGCGCCTCTCCCAGCCCGGCGGCACCGGGAGGGACCGGGCGGGACGGGACGGGACCGGGTGGGACTCCCGGTTCCCAGCGCGGCGGAACGCAGGGCTCAGTCCTGGGACCCCGAAGCCCCCGTCCCGGTGCCGGTAACGGCGCCTCTCGGACAGCCCCCGACGCCCTGATCCGTGCCGGTGCCCGTTCCTGCTCCCTTTCCCGGTCCTGTGTCCGGTGCCCGTTCTCATTCGCCGTTCCCGTCCCGGTGCTTGTTCCTGTTCCCAGTCCCGGTGCCCTCTTCCGTTCCCTTCCCCACTCCCTGTTCCCTCTGCCGGCTCCTCATTCCCGCTGCCCTGTTCCCGGTCCTCCCTTCCGTCCCCGTTCCCGGTCTCCATTCCGGGCTCACGTCCCCTCTCCCGGTGTCCCCCGCCCTCCCATTCTCACCAGTCGGTCGCAACCCGGGGGTTCCCCACGTCCTCCCGCGCCGCCAGCAGCGCCAGCCGGTACCGCTCCAGCCCCGGCCCCGCCATCCCGATCCCGGGGCCGATTCCGATCCCGGGGCCCGCCGCCGCCGCCGCCCTGCGCCCGCCCCTCCCTCCCCCGCCGCTCCCCCCGGCACTTTCCACCGCCCACAGGCGGCACCGGGCGGGGCGGGGGCGGGAGAGGCCGGGAGGCACCGGGACGGGACGGGACGGGCGGCGCTGGGAGCGCTGGGAGGGGGGTGACGGGTCCGGGTCCCGCGCTGGGACAGGGTCCCGTACTGGGATGAGGGTCCGGTAATGGGATGCGGGTCCGGTAACGGGATGAGGGTCCCATTCTGGGATGAGGGTCCCGTAATGGGATGAGGGTCCGGTAATGGGGTGAGGGTCCCATTCTGGATGRRGGKCCCATACTGGGATGAGGGTCCMGTAMTGGGATGAGGGTCCGGTAATGGGATGAGGGTCMCATACTGGGATGAGGGTCCTGTAATGGAATGAGGGTCCTGCATTGGGATGAAGGTTCTGCACTGGGATGAGGGTGCTGTAATGGGATGAGGTTCCCTGCAGGCGGATGAGGGTGCTGTGCCAGATTCCCATCCTGAGACATCGCTGCAGGTCCCAGGATCCCAGGCTGGAATGCTGTGGAGGTCCCAGGGTCCCACACCAGGACACGGATCTCACACCAGGATGTGGGGCCGGTCCCAGGGGCACACACTGGGACGGGTGCCCGGGTCCAGCACTGGAATGTGGCTTCAGTGCCAGGATCCCACAGCAGGATGAGGGTCCCCAAACTGGGATGTGAGTGAAGGTTCCAGGGAGCCCAGACCGGGATGAGGGTGCTGTGCCAGGATCCAGCACCAGTCCAAGGAGGGGCGTGTGTCCCCCTTCCCTCTTCCGTCCCTTCTGTCCCTTCCCCCATCCCTGGAGGCTCTCACACCATTCCCTTTTTATGGCAGGAAATGGGATTTTGGGGTGCTGGGGGAGTCACTCTGTCCCCCCCGAACACGATGGTGATTCTGGGGGAGCCAGGAACGTTCCCAGCCCAATGTCTGATCTGCCCCGTCCCCCCACTTCCCCTGTCCCAAAGCCTCTCCCATCGTTCCCTTATTTGGGCACCGCGACTGGAAAATCCCAAACCCCCAGGGAGGGAAAAAATGCTGCAAAATGGGATCTTGGGCCCAGGGACACGCCCAGCCCAGCGTCTGGCGTGCCCTGTCACCCCCTGTCCTAGGGTCACTCGTGTGACTGGCATTACCTGTGTCACTGGCATTACTGGTGTCACTGGTGTTACTGGTGTCACTGGTGCTATTGGCATTATTGATGTTACTGGTTTATTTGTTTTTACTGGTGTCACTGATGGTACTTTTTACTGGTGTCACTGTAACTGGTGTCACTGTTACTGCTGTCACCGTTACCGGTGTCACCATTACTGCTGGTGTCACTGGTGCTGCTGGTGTCACTGGTTTTACTGGTGTCACTGGTTTTGCTGTTTTTGCTGGCACCACTGGTAACACTGGTTTTACTGCTGTCACTGCTGTCATTGCTGTCACCGCTGTCACTGCTGTCACTGTTATTGCTTGTGCAACTGGTGCCGCTGGTCTTACCGGTGCCAGCAGGGTTATTGGTGTCACTGGTTTTACTGGTTTTTCTGGCACCACTGGTATTACTGCTGTTTTACTGTGTCACTGGTTTTACTGGTGTCACTGCTGTCATCGCTGTCACTGCTGTCACTGCTGTCACTGCTGTCACTGTTTTTGCTGGTGCAACTGGTGCCACTGGTCTTACCGGTGCCACCGGGGTTACTGGTGTCACTGTTTTCGCTGGCGTATGCCACCGCTGTCACTGCTGTCACTATTGTCATTGCTGTCACTGGTTTTTATTGCTGCCACYGGTGTCACTGATGACAATGGTGTGGCTGGTGTCGCCGCTGTCGCGACCCCGGCCCTCCCCGCGTCCCCCCCCCACCCCCGCCATCCCCTCGTGTGGGCGGGGCTTAACTGGGGGGCGTGACCACTGACCCCTCGGGGGCGTGTCCCGCTGGCCCCGCCCATGTGGGCGTGGCAGCCCCCCCGAGGTGGGCGTGGCCCGGAGGGGGCCGTGCCGTCACGTGGCGGCGCTGCGCCCCCTGGCGGCGCTCCTTTGTCCGCGCGCGGGGCGGGGCGGGAGGGGGCGTGGCCCATGGGCGGTGCCGCGCGGGATTGGCGGGGCGGGGCG